GAGTTACTTTCCTGCATTGTAAACTGAGGTCATTATTCATCGATATTACTGCGCATTTTAAAGATTTGTTTAATAGATTTGCATGTTTTTAAGACCCTATTAAAATTTCGATAAAATTCGAAAAAATCAATGCATGAACTCAACCAAGCCAAAATGTTTAACTTCAAACATTTAATACTTCCTTAATATTAGCGCTACATACCTCTCATTGATATAAATCGATCGGAACTGTTCCAAAGATTTCAAAAATGTACAATTAATACTTAAAAAATTAACCATGGTGAATTATACAATGTCTTGAAGATCGTTTTTTTTTGTGACACCCTGTACATTTACAAAATCTTGAATGTTTTAAAAAGAAATGTAAATATTGGTTTTATTCAGAAACATTTCTTTTAAGTTCAAAAACTAAATTTTAAATGTTATCAAACTTTAAAAAAACTCATAAAATTTTATCATATTTGCAAAAAGCTAAATATTTCATAACCTTATTTTGGCGTTTAGCATCAAAAGGAATTGGTTTTTGTATTTTTACTTATTTTACAATTGTATTTAAAGAAATCTTCAAGAATTTTAGATACAAAGGAATTGAGTCTTTACAACAACCACTAATTTTCTTATCCATATATCTTGATAACCTGATGTACAAACCCTTAATATTTCAAACTTAGATTATCATATCTAGCAGGGTTTAAAGTTTGAAATATCTAAGGTCTGTGACATCGAGTCGCAAAGATATAGAAATTAGAAATCAGAGTGTGTGGCAAAGACTCAATTTCTTTAAATTATTCCTTTAATAGTTTAGAAAGAGTAGGTTAAACTTGGCAGTCTGTTATTTGTTGAAACAAATACTTTTTTATTCCAATTTATAGCTGAGTAGAGAGAAAAGATAGATCTTGAAATTCTATTAGAGTTTAGACATTTGCACAATTGTAACTTACAATGTTAAAAAATACATTGGATCTGTTTATACAGTACTAGACTTTTAGGGCGCTTCGCACCCATCCTCTATTTCAATAACATCAAAAAGTTTGCTAATTCAATTCTATGTTTTTGCTCATTTTACAAAAATCAAAAAGAATTTGATACAATTTTTGTAATTTTGAGCATCCTTATACCTTTCCTGGGATCATTTGGGCCCGATCGGTTCAGCCGTTTTGAAGTTTATTGGTTACAAACAAACAGACAACCAAACAAGAAACTTACATATAGGTGTTCCACTAAACATGACAGCTGAGAGATGAATGTCGTCTTAGATCTTTGATAGATATTTCAGGATAAACAATGTGTCAATCAACAATGTTTTTATCGTGTGTCATTAAACAGGGTTACCTACGTCGGTACAACGAATACTCTTTTAAATGCAATTATGTGTAATTTAGGACGCTTTATCAGAATATATGTAATTTAGTGTGCTTTATCAGAATTGTTTCTTTCATATTATATTTATAATTAATTGCTTTCGAAAGGGAAATTCAGCAGAACTTTTGCATGAAGGAAAGATTTCATCTCATTCTTTGTTAAAAACCCTGAATACCTATATTTTCCACACTCTATTCACAAAATTTCATCAGAATACTTAAATGACGCTAGATCCATTGAGAAAATTCTATTTTTGAATGTGCAGAGCTAGTTTACAGCTTTATTAAATCCAGGATTGTTTATTTTGTGAATCTGGGAAATTTATGACCATGGAACTGTTTGTTATTACATTAGACCCTGAACAGGCGTCCCCCACACTCTAGTTTTTTGCCCAAGCATTCCCATTTTTGACACTATTACCTTGAAATATTTTCGCTTTTAACTTTTAAAGAAATATCAACTTAGAGGACTTTTTGAATTTTTTTTAATGTATATGGTAGTGTGAACCCAACCCAAGGGTTCACAACTTGTATATAGTACCGTACAGTTTATTGCTCCCTAGCGAGAATATGTTTGTAAGCCTAACAATCTGACCCAAGCCAAGCACCAAGTGTTATCTCTTATTATGCTTGCAGCCTGATTATCCTTAACAGGCTCAACCCTAAATGATATTGAACCCTTTCTTATCTTGTTTACCTCAAGTCAATATAAGTAACCAAGGCGGGGCTAGGTAGGGATGGATGCTGGAGAGAGGAGGGTAACAAGACTCTATGGCAGAGGTAAAAAGGAGTTTGATCGGCCATCTTATGCCCCAGACCAAGTACAGATTCAGAAGAGTCAAATGGAAGTATTTAGATCAATCTAACCGTTTGTATTGTTTAAAATTTATATTTAGTTTGTGCAAAAAATATGTTCAATTATTCAACTTAATATTGGCTTTTTACTACCAGTCCTTTTTCAAGTCTATAGTAAGTAGTACAGCTACGGTAAAAAGGCAATAACAAATCTAAGATAGCTCACAAATCCATTTTTGAAAAGCTTTTGAAAAATGGATGTTAAAACATTTTTTTTATAGACCTTGAAAAATTGGGCTATGAACATGCATTGCTATAATTAATTCGTTTTTGTCGCATTTGCTTTATATCAATTAACAATACTTAAAACATGACATTAGTTTGAGACCAGCGCCATTTCCCTTCCCTTTATTCTTATTCGCTGGTAAATTCTAGAAAATTGACGTTAATTTGAAATTGAGTAATTGTTTCAAAACCAAATCACAACATGAGCTGAAATGCGGTAATTGTTTCAAAATAGGGACATGTTCAAAAATGAACTCAAAAATTAACAACAGTTGATTCTCATGCCTTTTATTTAGCCACATGTAAATATATAGCGTTTCAACTATAGTTAAATACTGCAGGTATTTTCTTCTCGTTTTGGATTACAAAAAAAACGATAACTTTGTAGATTTGGTCCATTTCTAACACATAGTAATGACGTAATGAGTTAATTGAAAAAGTTTAATCATTTATCATTCAGGTTATGCAGGTTATGCTGGTGATTTGACACAAAATGTAATTTTAAAACGATCAAAGATGAAATGTTTAATTAAATTCCAGAACCAGGGATTACAAATTACCATGTTAATTGTTTTAAACATAATTCAAACATGTTTATGTACAACATAACACACAACTGCTTGTTGCTATGGCAGTGGCATCAACTGTGTTGATTTTTTAAATTGCACAATTATGCCAACATTTTGAAAAAAGAATAGCAAAGCGGTAGAACAGTACCTTTCTTTTTATTCATAAAAAAGTGATGGCGTAGTTAAGTAGGTCTTTGCTCATTGGCTGGATTATTTTCTTTCACCAATCAGAGGCAAGCAGAATCCAATAAATAATTAGAGACCAAGTAAGGCACGTCGGTGCAGATTTCGACAAAAAAAATTCTGGCAATCGGTCAAAACAGGGAGCGGAAATGTCATGTATGTGTGTCTGTACCAAAATAATATGTGTTTGTCATGCAAAGAATATAATTTGATTAAAGTTTACAATAAACTACTCGTTATTCAAGCTTAATCATAATTGACGACATTGTTCTGCAATTTCCTTGACTGTAGTCATGTTGTGTGTCTGTATCAAAAAAGTGTGTGTTTGTGATAACGAACTCGTCTGCAAAGCGGTGCGACTGACTTTCTCATGCCAGACCAGCGCCATTTCCCTTCCCTTTATTCTTATTCCCTGGTCAAAACTAATGTTTCCAATTTTTTCCAGATCGATTTGGAGCCGTAACTTTATTTTCCCCCCCGAATATTCCCCTCTTAAGAATCATATGTAAACCTTTAAAAAATTTCTTAACCGAATTAAGAAAATAATCGGCCTCCTAGATGTTTCACAGAGCTGTGTGAGACCTGGTCTAAGGTTTACAGACCGACTATTCCAGATCAATTGTAAGTAATTACTAATTGTAAGTCAGTATAATAATTATCTATTTATGAAAAATAATAAAAACATCCAAAATTATGTGTTTCAGGAGGGAAATATTTAAAAATCTCCCAAAAATAGAGGTTATGGGAATATCCCTCCCCCTTCCCCCCAATACTAAAATAAAATATAAAAAAATTTAAAGGAGATATGGAAAAATTGTCCCGTAAACTTTTTATAAAATGTCACACCAAGCTTTGTGTATCATCTAATGGGTAGATTTATTAAAAAAATCAGGTCAGAAAGGTTCCGCCGTTAAATTCCAAAAGTTGTTAAAGATTTATCATACTAGAAGGTTTTTAAAGGTCTATCACCCCGGACTAACCAGAGTGAGCAACATTCGGTTTCTTCTATTTGAAATCAAATGTGTTTCGGTTTATAATTAACAATTTTTCCCCTTATGGATTTGTTTATTCTATTCAAAATACATATGCCGATAAAAAAGTATTCATGAAAAAAGGCTAACAAATTATGTTTAAGCCTTTTTGATGTTTTTACAACCCAATACTTTAATAAGTAACTCTCATTACTTCAGTTATTAAGTTAAATACTTGTGTTTACATTGCACAACTGTTGTGTCTCATATCATGTTTATTGGTCTATTTTAAGTCATAACTTGCACAATTGCTGTGTCTCATATCATGTTTATTGGTCTATTTTAAGTCATAACTTGAGTCTAAAAGTCACATAATAGTTTCCTATGACCAGAATATTTCATTGATTTTTAATGTGAAAGATGAATACCATGTTAGGCTTCGACATCCATCTTGTGTTTACATTACCGCCCAGAAACAGTACACTGCAGTACAAAAGATGCGCACACCTTTGAAATAACTTTCCTTGCATGATAACCTTGATAAGAACTAGGCTTTTAAAGCGCTTCACGCCCCCTATCCGTTTTAGCTTTTATCTTTGTTTATTGCTTTATCTAAAAGTGGACATTTTTAATCATTCCATTCGGGCCTAATCGGTTTATCCGTTTTTACTTTTATTGTTCACAAACAAATAGATAGACAAACAAGTACTTAAAGAGATAGGTTACCTATAAGGCTATAATATAAAGTAAGCATAAGAATACAAGTATTTAAAGAGATAGGTTACCTATAATATAGAGTAAGCATAACAATACAAGTATTTAAAGAGATAGGTTACCTATAATATAGAGTAAGCATAACAATAACTGGAATCCAGAAGGTCATTGACGAAGAGAGAAAAGCGTAAGTTTTGTTCACAACAAATCTGAAAATAAAAGATTTGACAAAAAAAATAAATAAAACGTTTTTCTTGTCAAATATCAATTTTTAGTGCTTTACTTTTTACCTGTACAATTCCTAGATCAACCTGCTTACATTTGTATCAATTTTTAGTTTGAAAATTTCACCACACTTTTAAAATCACAAAATAAAGTGTTTTTTTTTTGGATTAAAAAAATATTATTGAACAAGTTAAATATATTTACTTCTTTTATTTTGAGGAAAGGGACTAACCCTTCTTTATCAATATTTGAGGAAAGGGACTGCAGTACTCTGTTTTTATTAAAATTAGAAAAAAGGTAATGAACTCTATTCATAACAAATTTGAAGAAATGAATTTTACTCTATTTTTATTAAAATTTGAGGAAAGGGACTGAACTCTATTTTATATTTAAGTATAAAGGGACTGTACTCTATTTTATATTAAAGTATAAAGGGACTGTACTCTATTTTATATTTAAGTATAAATGGACTGTACTCTATTTTATATTTAAGTATAAAGGGACTGTTCTTTATTTTCTACCTGCATTCATCCGGATGATATTCTTTATGTTTAAGGTACTCCGATGTAGTATACCAACCTAAATATTATTCAATAATTTTATTTTTCTGATTTTATTCCACTAGGGAACTTAGAAAGCGGGTGCAGGGACGCCACGCGCGAGCCCCGCAAAACGGTCTCCAAGCCTCTGGATTCGCAGATAAGTATTTAAATTACCTGGCGCTGCTTTTTTCCTTAATGAATAGATTTAATAGAAGTAGTGCATAACAATTTTTAGAAAAAATATTTAATATTTTGATAGCTATGCAATGTGTTTTTGGATGTTTAAGAAAAAAAACACTGCATACATATTTAAAGATTATATATTTTCTTTAAAATGTTATTTATTACTTCTATAATATCTATTATAACATTTAGGGGTAGCACCAGGTCAATTTAAAATACTCATCTACGAATACGGAGACTTGGAGATCATTTTGCGGGGCTCATTGCGGCCCTGCAACCCCTCCCTCGGATACTTCGCACCCTTGTTTTTAATGTAAACTAGGATGTTTTTTTATTTTGCTCATGGTATAATGGTATAGGAATAATCATATCAAACTTTAATTTTCTATTCGCTATATCTATCTAAGGTCTACAACACCAGGTTGCAAAGATATAAGTATAAGAAAATGGAAGTTTGTTGCTAGAGGTTAGCTCAATTATTTGATTTCTAATTAAACATATATGAATTTTATTACAAATCCAGACATGAAAATTTTTTAAATCGATTTAAATAAAATATTATATTTTAGTACAAAGACATTTAGTCTTTGTCTCAAACTCAAATTTTCTAACCCCTATATATGTAAAGCCTGATTGTGTAAATCTTTGATATTTCAAACTTAGATTATTTGATCTAACATAATTCATAATTTGAAATATCTAAAGTCTATTATATTGGGTTGCAACCTTTCAGGAATTAGAGATTAGAACATCAGATTTTGTGTCAAAGACTCAATTTCTTTTTATCGCAAATCATGAATGAAATATTTTTTACTTATTAAACAAAATGGCATATTTTGAAATTTATAGTGTGATTATTATTAATTTTATATCCATATATCTGGCAATATGAGTGTGTCTGTTTTCCCCTTTAATACCTGAGGCCGAATTTAAAGAATTTGATCCGTGGCTTAAATATGGTTGGTTCCACTTAAAATCGTGTGATCAAAATTTAAGCCGGCGCTTAATTGAAACCGGTTTTAGGTAGATTTTAAACGCGGCTCAAATTCATTAAATTAGGACACTGGATGACAGAACTATAATATATATATATATTGACTCTAGACTCTGAGAGGTTTCTGTCATAATGACATAAACTTCCCCCGGAACTCCTTTTCTTATATTCTATCCTATCCTGTATATTCTATAATATTCCATATATTCTTTATATATTCTAGACATAATCTACAATCTAGAAGTCATTAATATATATATGTCAAATATATTATAAATATATATTCTCAAGCTTTCTGTATTTAAATTCCCAACTGAAAGTTTAAATTGATCACATTTAGTGGATATTCAAATATTAAATTATATTACAATTATATTCCTTGCATTTTTAAATATTCTATCTTCTACAAAATAAAGCTAGCTTTGCTCATGTTTAAATATTCATATATTAGCTAAAGCTGGCCAAACGGCTGGACCAAATTGGCTGAACTTTTGGGGGGGGAACCCATGGGATGGTATCAAAGACAAAAAAATTAGTTTTTATTTTAAAAATCAATTTTTTTTAAATTCGATTTTTTTAAAAAATCCACGGCAATAGATAGCTCTTTTCTCATATACATATGATACATTATACCAGATACGTTCAATAAATGTTAGCAATAGCTGACCAAGGATGTAATGCAAGGAAAGTTATTTCAGAAGTGTCCGCATCTTTTATACTGCAGTTTACTGTCTCTGGCCGGTAATGTAAACACAAGACGGATGTTACAGCCTGACATGGGATCCATCTTTCACATAAAAAAATCAATGAAATATTCTGGTCATAGGAAACTATTATGTGAATTATCAAAATTATCAAAATTTAATGCTTTTAACCTCCTCGGATACTAAACGAACACTGATGCATCTATTCTTGTTTACAAATTCCGCCCAAAGAGAACTGGTTTCAATATGTACGCAGAGTATACAGTCACGGCCGCATTTAACTTTCCTTGCATTACATTCTTGTAGCTGACCATACTGTTAGACCAAATTGCCTGACATTTTTTAGGAACACCATGGGTACTCTGGGGCCGTAACAAAAGCTATATATAAATTGAATTATTTTTTCAAAATTCGAAAACTTTGTTTTCAAGGTTTAATCCCACGGGCAACGCCAGGCACTTCCGCTAGAATGCATGCACTTTTTAGTTGTAGTAATTGTCCCAACCATTTTTGAACATAAAAATAAGGGAATTGAAAATAAAACCTGATAAAAGTTTAAAATAGTATTCTAGCATTTCTTTGAGTTTTTCCACTTCTTTGTTATCCTTTGTATTTTTACCAGGCTTTGATCTTAGAAAGGTTCTTTACAATTTTAACACGAATTTAAAAAACTTTATTAAATTTCATTTAAAAAAACTTTATTTGGTTTAAAAAAAAACTTTACTTAATACCATTTAAAAAAATTTACTTGGTATTATTTAAAAAAATCTTTGTTGATTAAAATCTGAAAAACAATTTATCATTTAAAAAACTTTATTTAATAAGATTAAAAACAACTTTCTTTGGTATTTTCTTTTTTAAAGACCTGAAATAATTACAAATTGGAATGCTTTGTCGACACAAAATATCAAAAAAAGACGAACAAAATGTTACGAGAATTGTTGAAACATTATTCTAAAATAATAAGCTCCATTGTAAACAAAAAGAATAAATTTAACTGCTATAAAATATCTTTAAAAAAAGAAAACTTTGTAGGTTTTGCTAAAAAAACGTTCAAAAACTTTTCCAGTACACATTATCCTATTTTTTGCTATTTAATGGAATTGAGTCTTTGGCACTAACTCAGATTTTCTAATTATTATATCCTTGCAACCAAATGCCATAGATCTTAGATATGATTCATGTTAGATCATATAGTCTAGGTTGCAAAATAGCAAGGGTTTCCACCATCAGATTGCTAAGATATAGGGATTAGAAAATTTGAATTTGTGGCAAAAACTCAACTCCTTTGTAGATAATAGCCCAGAGTCCGAATCTAATGAATTTGAGTCGCGTCTCAAATCACCTAAAAACCGGTTTAAATTGAGTGCCGGCATAATTCTTGAAATATTAACTACGGTACGATTTTAAGTGGAACCAACCTTATTAGAGCTGCGGATCAAATTCTTTAAATTCGGCCTCAGTTTAGAAATAGAGCGAAATAAAAGAACAAATTGGATAAAAAAGTTTTAAAAGTTCATTCTTGTTTAATTATTATTTTTATTTTTATTATTATTATTATTATTATTATTATTATCATTGTTATTATTATTATTATTATTATTATTATTATTATTATCCTATGACCTGTAAAGATTGGTATGAATGATATGGTAGAGGGTATAATCCAGGCAACTGCTATCATGCAGAATGCAACTTTTACTAAAAATAAAAATGATATATTTCCAATCTTGTTTTCCCCATTTTTTTAAAGAAAATGATTTTTTATTCTTTGAGTTTATAATTATTTATTTTCTGAACTGATTGCAAACATAAGGCGAAAAAGAAAGTGTGCGTTGATACTGGATTTTTCGCAGAAAATCAGACTTGGGACATCCTTGTTATATTACTATCATGTTGTGTTACCTATTCTTACAAACATGTTGTGTTACCTATTCTTACTAACATGTTGTGTTACCTATTCTAACCAACATGTTGTGTTACCTATTCTTACTAACATGTTGTGTTACCTATTCTAACTAACATGTTGTGTTACCTGTTCTAACTAACATGTTATGTTACCTATTCTAACTAACATGTTGAGTTACCTATTCTAACTACCATGTTATGTTACCTATTCTAACTAACATGTTATGTTACCTATTCTTACTAACATGTTGTGTTACCTATTCTAACTAATATGTTGTGTTACCTATTCTAACTAACATGTTGTGTTACCTATTCTAACTACCATGTTATGTTACCTATTCTAACTAACATGTTGTGTTACCTATTCTAACTAACATGTTATGTTACCTATCCTAACTAACATGCTGTGTTACCTGTTCTTACTAACATGTTGTGTTACCTATTCTAACTACCATGTTATGTTACCTATTCTAACTACCATGTTATGTTACCTATTCTAACTAACATGTTATGTTACCTGTTCTTACTAACATATTGTGTTACCTATTCTAACTAATATGTTGTGTTACCTATTCTAACTAACATGTTGTGTTACCTATTCTAACTAACATGTTGTGTTACCTATTCTAACTAACATGTTATGTTACCTATTCTAACTAACATGTTGTGTTACCTATTCTAACTACCATGTTGTGTTACCTACTCTAACTACCATGTTGTGTTACCTATTCTAAGTATTAAGATTTCTGTGAGTTTTTGTATTAGAATCCATTTTCACCCATTAAATGTAGATTTTTCTTCTTTAGTTTCTTTCTGCTTTTTGTGGGGCAATGTAATTCTAATATTAATAAGTCTTTTAGGCTATTTGACAGATTTTGCATTAAAAATATTCGGATACAGACAGGGTTTATCGCTTTGTTCTAGTTAATTTTATGTCTACTCATATTTTTTGGTAACCCTGCTTATAAGTTGCACTCTCCTGAAAGGAAGTGAGTTTTTGTCACAGACTCAAATTTTCTAATCCTTATATCTTCGCAACCTGTTGGTGCAAACCTTTGATATTTCAAACCTAGAAATCTAACATAACAATATATAACATAATTTATAGTTTGAAATATCAAAGGTCTGCGATACTTTGTTGCAAAGATATAAGAATTTAAAAAATTGAGCTAGTAGGGAC